GGGGAAAAAAAAAAAAAAAAAAAAAAATCGATGCAGGAAAGAACCCACACACGCATGCTGCTCCAGGAATCCTGGTTTATGATGAAAGAATAGGTTTGGCAGCAACAGCCCTCTTACCCTGCGTGTGTACTGCCTCTAGGGCACGATGATTCCCCTTTGTACTAATTTGGCCTGCCCTGAGCAAGGCTAAATAGCACAGCACTTAAAACAACAGGAGCTTGTCTGTGAGGCTGCCGGCGTTCTTCGCAATGCTGCAGTGCTGTCTTTTTTAGCAGCTGCAGGACCTGGGTGGCAGAAGACGCAGCTGGAGTAGAAGAAAGTTCTGCATGAGACCTGGAGCCCGGTACGGGGAGAAACAGCCTGCTGAGCAGGAGCAGGTCATTGGTGCAAGGAAGCATGTGGGATTCACGCAAGTGTACCCAGCAAGAGAGTTGGGGGCCAGCCCATGCTCTCTTTGAAGGGACAGATCCCAGAGATCCAGGGTCTTAATGGTCAGGAAAATGATATGGAGCTCACAGGCTAATGCTTGCCAGCCAGAGGGGCAGTTTGAAACTCAGATACATGGAGGCACGGGGTTACCCAGGTGCTGGAGGGAGTACCGCATCCAGCCACTCCAGAGCAGTGTATGTCCAGCTGAATCCCCTCCCCCCCACCTACACATCTGGGTGGAAAGCCAGGTGCCCAATGTCAGGTGTTAATAGGGAGACAGGCATGGCCTAGACCTTGCTGAAGCTCCAAGTGCTGGCATATCACATGAAGCCCTGGGGCCAGGTCCAAGGGGAAAGCTAAGTGCCATCCGGCCAGACCCTGCTGAGACCCCCAGGGGGGATCCCAGAGCCTGCACCCTTTGACAGTGCACCTGGGAAACAATATTGCTTGTTCAGGGCAGAGCCCAATGTTCGTTCCAGGGCAGGAGCAAGCTGATGTGAGCAAACCCAGGGGCTGCTTTTCTGCCAGAATGCGGCATATGGAAGCAGAGGGTGATGGCTGCTCCCTTGGGGCTTGCCACGGGAAAGGAGGGCTGGGGAGCTCAGCACACCTTCTCTGGAGGTGGGGAAGTGGGATGGTCTTGTGCAAGAGTCCTATGGCACATGAGTGCTTGGATGCAAGTCAAGGGAAGCCAGGTATCAGATGTCCATTGCCTCTCTTCACTGTGGAAAGTGGGGTGTCGCCACAGAGCACCCCAACTCCTGACCCACCAGACACCTCCACACCTGGCCCAGAGATGGGGACAGACACTTAGAGAAGGCAGGTCCACAATGGCAAAAGGGGAGAGCCAAACCCCTTCTTTACCTGGCTCTGGGTAACTGGTGCTCAGGAGGCACCACTTACACTTAGCTTGGCAGACCAGATCTGTGGGGGCACTACAGCTGCAGGGAGAAGTCCGAGGCAGCGAGCACAGGAGCAGAAAGCAGGTCTCCAAGAACGTGCAAGTTTTGGTGTGAAGCAAAGACTGCTCAGGCTGCCTTGAACCCAAGCTCCCTCCCCAGCAGAGCTGCTGTGTACAGTACTCAGATGCTTAGAGGTCAAAGCCAGTAACCTTGCCTGTGCCCACCTGCCAGGGTCCCTTCATGGTCCCTCACATCTGGTGGCCCAGGAAATGCAAACAGTGACAGCAGTGCGCAGTCTCACACACCAGTCTGCCTACCTCTGCAAGCACGCGACCGTCCAGCATTGCAGTCTCCGTTCTCCTCCAGGGCTCAGCATTATTAGAGTATCTTACCAACACCACGGGGCTGTCCCCTGGCCTTCTGGGGTTACGCCGCTCTAGGAACTGTGCAAATACAGAGCTGGTTCATGGTGTTCATCTCACCAGAATGTATATTATGTATCACCCACCTTCCCTGTTACCAGAAGAGGACAAAAGCATGCAAACGCTTCTTGTGAAGAGCAGAGTTTCATCCAGAGTGAACTGCATGTGGGTCAGATTACTGCACTGAGACCAACAAGACTTTCTGGTAGCGGTGCTCTTATCTCTGGTCATGCTTTCAGAGGAGCTCAAGGGAGTTAGGTACTTGCACTGAGTTTCAGCTGGAGCCGGGTACTCGTCCCTGTCGTTTGTGTGCAGGGCCAGATCTGGGGGTGGGGATGCACCCCGCCTGGGTCCACCCAAAGTTTGAAACCCGCTGCCTGGAAGTGGCAGCAGCATTTCTATTCAGGCAGCAGTGAGGGAGGCCATTGACTCGGTGGCTCATTAAGATCTACCCAATTCCCTCTAAACTCTTCAGTCTGGGCCGTTAGCCAACCTCCCTCCTTCTTTCTAACAGCCTGGCTGGTGGGCTTGCCGAGCTGGCGCTTCTTCCGCCCTTCCGTTGCCTGCTCCTGGGACCCAAGCTCCCATTTTGAGGCCATTCCCGGTTAATGAAAGGCCCATTTTTAACTTGTTTCAGTAAAGTTGTATTTGACAGACGTTTTTTTAACTCATTCCAATAAGATTATATTTGAATTTACCTCATTCCCACAGGGTCCTCTTTCTTTTTTGGTATCGGCCTTAAATTGAAGCCCCTCAGCTTTTTACTACAGCTCCTAGTTTCCTTTGACCCACAGAAAAGCCGGTGGGGTGGGGTGTACGCCCCTCCCCGCTTTCCCAGGTCCCAGGTGGGCTCGCGGCACCCGCGGAGCTGCCCCTCCCGCCCGAGGCAGGATCAACCGCTCCACGCCGGCCCCGCGGCGCCCCCTACCCGCGGGGAGGCCCTACCTGCCCCGAGTAGTACACGGCGACCAGGCCGAGCGGGAGGCAGCAGCACAGGATGTTGAAGACCGACCACCACTTGTAGCTGCGCACGGGCTCCGGCTCCAGCGGCGCGTAGGGGACGCGGCTCTCGGGCTCCATGGTCGGCGCGTGAAGGGCCGGGGCCGGGGCCGGGACCGAGTGGTCGGCGCCGCCCCGCGCGGGAGGAAACCGGGGCACGGGACACGTGGCCCGGCCCCTCCTCGCCCGGCGGCTCACTGCCCCGGAC